TTCACGTGAAAACGGTCACAGGAGTCCATCCAATAATCCCAATTAAATTGGTATCGGGATATATTATTTCATTCATTCAACAAGTTAAAATTCATTATAGAAGGTTATCTATTTGTTTGGGAAACAGCCATCCATGAGGCTTTCCTTTGCACTACTGCAGAACAGAAGGAATGCTCTTTGATCTGTGAATATCTCATTTCCTGTGCATTTGGGGCTTCGGTTTCAAAAGGAAGGACTAGAAATGTAATGGGTTTGTCATATTCCAGAGGGACGGCATTCTTAAACTGAGTTCTGTGGGAAAGTTGTCATTGTACTACAACTGTGTGCTTGAGCTTGTCCTCTGCCCCATCCCTTTTTTTGCATGCACTGAAAATTCCCACAGGCAAATTCCAGCTTTTCAGGAAAAAGGACTAATGTCCCTAATGTAAACGACCACACATTTTTTCAGTTTAAACAAAACAGCAAAAACCAGTGAGCCCTTCATTCCCTCATCCCTCTATGAGAGAACACTGATGCGGGTGATGAGACGGGGGTGAAGAGAGGGCAACCACTTTCATTCATAAGGTTGATAAAAAATTTCCGTATGATTCTTTCTGATTAGGAAAATTCACATCAGATGTATTGATTTGGTAGTAAGTAGTTCTACTTTTGCAAGAGGCCAGCTGGAGGACCACAGAAAGGGGCATTAACTGGTGAAGAGAACTATCAGTGAGACAATATTGTGCCACGTGGCACCATCATATCTTGGCAGAATGATCTGCTAGCGGAATGTTCCACTAGCAGGGTTGTTCTGGAGGGGAGGGGGGTATTAAGAACTTCCATTTTGAGGATGACCAACAGTCTGCTAGATGCAACACCTTTGGTTTCAGACAAAATCACCAAAAATGTGTAACAGCCTAAGAGGTCACACCTAGTAAATTCCTTCAATCAGTAGTACAGGAAGCCCTCCTCCAATCAGAGCTTATTTCAGGGAAATTGCAAAGAAACCACGTGGCAAATGTTCATGCTTGCATAGTCCATTCAGATACAGGTCCCCCACTCATCTTTTGATAGATTTGCTCATCTCCCAAGAGAAATTGCCATCATAGGACTATCTGTTTTCTGCAGAAATAAAAACCCACTGGATCCAGGGACAGGATAGAAAGTCACCAGAACGACAGGGTGCACCACATGTTAATATCTTGATCAATATCTTGATATATTCCCTCTTGCTATCTTGTTTTTATTCATGTTTCATTATTTTTGATCTGTTTTTTAAGAATGCTTAATTGTTGATTTGCTGTGTGCTACCTAGGGCCATTTTGTTGTGTGAGATTATCAGCCATGTAAATTTGGTAAATACAAACTGAACAGCCAGAAACTGGACTATGCCAGAAAAACAGTCACTTTTTTTTTAGTTAGAAGCACAGCTCACAACGCAGAGCACATGTATGCATCCTGCCCATGGCAACACCTTGCTTCCCAGGGTACACACAAGATACACTCAGTGAGCTTCTGGCACTTCAACTGAAGCTGGCAAGGGTATTATAAAGTACTGGAGGAGTAGGATAGGCCATTGTGGGGTTAGTTTCTTTTGTAATAGATGCAAGAGAAGAATCTTGCTGTTACTTTATTGAATTCCAGCAAGTGTTTTGGTGTGTACACATGTACAACAACAAAACATACTAATGTCAGGTTAAATGGATTGGATTAATGTTATAAGATGGATTTGGAGCCCCACAGTCCAGGGAAGTGGATCTCAAATCAACAGCCAGAGAATGGCAGAGAGGAGGAGAAGAGGTTTGCCCAGCTCCATTATGAACAATTGGATTTCCATCCATGGTATGTCTGGATTAGATTAGATTAGATTAACAAAATTGGAAGGTACCTTGTAGATCATCTAGTCCAACCCCCAGCCCAAGCAGGAGACCCTATACCATTTCTGACAAATGGCAATCTCTTCTTGAAAGTCTCAAGTGTTGGCGCTCCCACAACTTCCGAGGGCAAGCTGTTCCATTGATTGATTGTTCTCACTGTCAGAAAGTTTCTCCTTATTTCCAGATTAAAACTCTCCTTGTTCAGTTTCCATCCATTGTTCCTTGTCTGGCCTTCGGGTACTTTGGAAAATGCTGAAGCTAATCATGATATTTACTTACAGATGCCCCAGCTATCATATCTAGGCCATAAAAATCTGGATGACTTATAGTCAAGTGATAGGGGCAGCCATGCATACTCAGGAGCTGATACGATTATTGTTTTGAACCCAATTAGTTATATTTTAATATAAATAAAGTTTCAATACATGCCATTATTAGAGTTTAAATATAATTATTTCCTTCAATGAAACTTTAATATTAGCATAATTATATACGGTAGGGCTGTGTGCCCACTTGGAAGATGCGCAAACCCAGCACGTTTCAAGCTTTTATAGACTTTGTAAAACAATCTTTCATCTTTAAGGGATCCATTCATTCAAGTTGGGCAGTGCAGAGGTGGGTATTCAGCAGGTTCTGACCATTCTGGAAAACTGGTAGCGGAAATTTTGAGTAGTTCAGAGAACTGGCAAATCCCACCTCTGACTGGCCCCGCCCCATCTATTCTCTGCCTCCCGAGTCCCAGTTGATCGGCTGGGTCTTCTTTCGTTGTTCTGCACAAGAAAATGGAGATGGAAAGCAGATTAGTGGGGTGGGGAGGGAATGGGGATTTTGCAGTATCCTTCCCCTGTCATGCCCACCAAGCCATGCCATGTTCAAGCCACACCCACAGAACCAGTAGTAAAAAATTTGAATCTCACCACTGGTGCAGTGCAATTGCTAAAGCAGAAGACTCAAAAGGGACAGGCTGCTTTGATGAAGAGAAGACGACTGCATATGGAGAACACAGCACTACTTCTTAACACCTTTCAATATATATATTTTTAAACACTGAAACCTGTCTTTTTAAAAAATTCACTTCTGCAAAGTGGCCAAGGTACTGGAGCTTTCTGAACCACAGCAGCATTTTCCACCCTGTAGAGACAACACCCATGTTTTCATCGAAAAAGATGCAGTTCAAATTTTCGGCTTACTTCCTGTTGACATCAATTATCTCAAGAAAATAGTGCTTGTAATAATTAGCTTTCCTAATACTTTCTGGATGCATAGTACACAAAATAGTTACTATTGGGGAAACGCTTTTCAGCATTCTTATCACTTGCCAAAAAACCAATCAAAGTGAAGCTTTTAAACCAGAACTCAAGTTAAACAATACACTGTAAATTTCAGTGGAAGTGCTATAGATATCAGTACTGTTCCATTTCCTTATATGGGCATTTCACACTGAATTATCCAGCCAGTTTGGCCAGTAGTCATGGAATCCTACAAGCTGTAATCCCAGCACAACTGGGGGAAACTGAGTTGGGAAGCCTGCAAATTTAACAATTATCATGGCAAAAATCTGTAGAATACCTCTAATCTGTAGTATTTGACTGCGGTTAAGGCAAACTCAATGCGTATACGGAAGCACATGTCAGATAATGTAGTGATTATATTTTGACTTTTAGCCAATGATACTATACTGCTTTCATTTTATACACACTCACACACATACCAGAGATCTTTCCCCAATTCATGCAATGACTTTCCTACAAGTAAATAAAGAACAAAACAAGGGAAATAACTGACTTCCTGCTACAGTTCATGTACTGAAAAATAGAAATAACAGTAGTAAGTTCTCCTTCTTACAGAAGCAGAATTGATACTGCCAATGCTTTTATTTCTCCATTCTTGAAGATATCATGTCTCATAGCAACCACTAAACATTAACAGGAATAAGGACAAGCTTTACATCACTTTTACTGAAGAGATGTAAAGTCCTTATTGTTATGTCTTTGGAACTGGTTGGAGTTCCCAACCAGGTCCGCACTTTAGGCGGGAGCATCAGCAGCTCCCATTGGTTGGCTCCGTTTGACAATCGGCTATAAAAGCCGGCGGCCGGACGGAGCCAGCCGTTGTTGTTCTTCTCCAGCAGTCTGCCTTGTTAGCGGGCAGACACAACAACCCTTTATTCCCCAGAATAAAGCCTTTACTTGTATGCTCTGGCCTTAGCCTCGTTTGTCCCTTCGCTCTACAACACTGGCAACGAGGATGGGATTCTACAGGCTAACCAGAAGCACCAAAGGCAAAAGAGCTGAAGCCACGGCATCAGAATCGTAGCTGCCTCGCTCACAGAGAGCTCGAGCTCAAACCGCTGCGTTTCGGAGCTGAAAGTCACGGCACTGACAGCCTCAGCCGCCCCTCTCGCGAAGGAGCGCGTAATTTAAAACCGTTGCGTTCGGAGCTGAAAGTCACGGCGCTGACAGCCTCAGCCGCCCCGCTCGCAAAAGAGCGCGTAATTCAAACCGCTGCCGTTTGAATTCAAATCAAGCTAGCGAAGCACTGAGCTGAAGTCATTGAAGCTAGTTTTCGGCGCTGTTAGCCACCGCCGCCATTACACTCAGAAGGCACGAATCTTAAACGGCCTTCACGAGGTTGAAGCTCACAGAATGAGTCTCGGGCGCTACACCCGCAGCCGCCAGCGCTCGTAACAAATGCAAATTCCAAGGGCCACGACCACCCAGAGAGATAGCCTATTCTACCAAGAGGCTGGAGAGTCCCAAAATGAATGCCAATCAGGCATTCCCACCATTCAAACCCAGTGAGGAAAAATGGGATTCCTACAAGAACCGCTTCAATCACTTCCTGGACGCCATTGGCCTAGCTGATGCTGCGGAACACAGAAAGAAGTCGTACTTCCTAAGCTACTGCGGCGCTGAGGTTTTCGACACCGCCACCGCACTCTTCGCACCACGTGAGATCAGAAACGTCCCGTGGACCGAAATACAGGAAACACTCTCTAACCATTATTCTCCCAAACCTTCCCAGATCGCAAGGCGTTTCGCATTCCGGATGAGGAAGCAAGCTGAAGGGAAATCCATCAACCAGTACATGGCAGCCCTGAGGACAGCCGCGCTTCAATGCGAGTTCAAGAACTACTTAGACGACATGCTTCTTGACCAACTCGTTTGCGGGGTAAGAGACCAGACACTCCAACGACGTCTACTAGCCAGGAAAGATCTAAGTCTTTCCCAAGCGGTGGAGGAAGCCCTAGCCGCTGAGCTATCCGTGCAGTCCGTGGCCGAGATTCAAGGCACCGCACCAAAGCCAGGCACTTCCACCGTCCACTCAGAGGAAGTGATGAGCGAAGCGGACCCCTCTGAAACCGCTGATGTCCATCGCCTAAGACAACTGAGACAGCCTCAGGTAGTAGTGAGACAGAGAAACAGCAGTGGCCCGCAACAGATCCCTTTGTGCCTAACCTGCGGGGGTGCCCATTCCCGGACATATTGCAGATTTAGAAACGCCAGCTGCCTTAACTGCCACAAGAAAGGTCACCTTGCGAGAGTCTGCCAAGCAGCACGTGCTCCATCCCAGAAGTTTCCCTCATCTCCTAGCCTCCAAAGGCAAGTAGAAGACTGTTACACGTGTTACCACGCCAACCACACTTCCCAAACTCCTAATAAGATTAAACTCTCTCTCTCCCTAGAAGGTAAACCTTGTACCATGGAGGTGGACACCGGTTCAGCGCTCTCAATCATCTCCTGGGAGACGCTTAAAAAGATTCAACCCAGACTGACCCGGAAGCAGCTACAAAAGTGCCACCTCATGCTGAGAGACTATCAAGGCAAGAACATCCCTGTCCTCGGGAAAGGCAAGTTCCTTGTTGAATTCCAAACCTTCAAAGGCCATTTGCCTTTAGTGGTGGTTCATGGTACCCTCCCTAGTCTTTTGGGGTTAGATTGGTTCCCCTCTCTCGGCCTTAATGTCACAGGGATTCATGCTGTCTCAACTTCTGATGTAGACACATTGTTCTCTGACTATTCCGACGTTTTCAGTAGCGAGCTGGGTTGCTACAATGGCACACCCATCTCTTTCTCTGTAGACCCCCAGGCAGTTCCGGTCCACCTGAAATTCCGTAGGGTACCCTTCGCCATCCGCCCCAAATTGGATGCGGAACTAGACAAACTTCTCAAGCAAGGGGTAATTGAGCCCACAGATTTCGCCAAGTGGGAGACCCCCATAGTCACCCCACTTAAAAAGGATGGTAGTTTGAGAATTTGTGCTGATTACAAGACGACACTTAACCGTTATCTCCAGGTTAGCGCATACCCCGTTCCAGTTATCCAGCACCTATTGCACACTTTTGAACCTGGCACAATTTTTGCCAAGCTAGACATGTCGCAGGCATATCAACAGTTCCCTGTCGACAGCCACACAGCAGACTTACAAACAATCGTAACACACAGAGGGGCATTTAGGTGCAAGCGCCTCCAATTTGGCGTTAGCGTGGCCCCGGGGATTTTTCAGTCCCTAATGGAGAGAATCCTCCAAGGTCTCCCAGGAGTAGTCCCCTATTTTGATGATATTTTGGTCTCAGCTAAGGACAGGCCCCAGCTCCTCCAGCGGGTGAGAGCAGTATTGGAGAAGTTTAGACAGCATGGTCTCAAACTCAAACGGGAGAAGTGCACCATCGCCACTAAACAGGTGGACTTTTTAGGATATAGACTTGACGCCTCAGGAATCCACCCAGTGGAGTCAAAAGTAAAAGCCATCCACGAGGCACCCACGCCAAATAATAAAACGGAACTGCAAGCCTTCCTGGGTTTATTAAATTTCTACGCCTCATTCTTACCACACAAAGCTTCAGTCACTGAACCTTTACACAGGTTGTTAGATAAAGACGCTCCATGGCACTGGGGCCCCAAGGAGTCCTGTGCATTTAAAGCGATCAAATCTCTACTCACCTCTGACGCCGTTTTAATTCAATTCAACCAACGCCTACCCTTGGTTTTGGCCGCTGACGCATCCCCCTTCGGGATAGGAGCCGTCCTTAGTCACAGACTCCCCAATGGCACAGAGGCGCCAATTGCCTTCTTCTCCAGGACCCTTTCCATGACTGAAAGAAACTACAGCCAGATTGACAAGGAGGCTCTGGCTGCAGTAGCGGCAGTCAAAAAATTTCACGAATTCCTTTTTGGCCACTAATTCGAACTCATTACCGACCACAAGCCACTCTTGGGACTTTTATCGGGAGACAGGCAAACTCCACAAGTTCTGTCCCCCAGGATGACCAGATGGACATTGTTTCTGGCAGCCTATTCATTCAAGCTGGTCCATCGCCCCGGTAAGACTTTAAGCCACGCAGATGCTCTCAGCCGCTGCCCCTTACCGACACCAGTTGAAGACCCGGCTCCGGTGCACGCGATCTTCGAAGTCAACGAACTTAAGCTACCTGTAACTGCTGATGACATCGCGGCACACTCCAAGAAAGATAGACTAATCGCCCAGGTTCTGGACTGGGTGGGAAGGGGGTGGCCGGAAACAAAATGTTCAGTTGATTTTGTTCCATTTAAAACACGTCAACAGGAACTATCAAAACTCCAGGGATGCCTGCTGTGGGGTACCAGAGTCGTTGTCCCATCCACCCTTCGCGTGCCCATATTGAAGGTGCTGCACGAGGGCCATCCGGGTATCGTGCGAATGAAGGCGCTGGCTCGCAGTTACGTATGGTGGCCCGGGATGGACGATCAGATCGCAGAGTGGGTAAGCTCCTGTAAACCCTGTCAGGAATCCAGAGCAGCCCCACCAGCAGCCTCACCCACAAAGTGGGAAAGTGCCAATGCCCCCTGGTCACGGTTACACATCGACCTGGCCGGTCCGGTCCATGGCAAGACTTTCTTGGTGGTCGTGGATTCGTATTCTAAATGGATAGACGTTGCCTTGCTCCCCACGACCACCACGCAGGCAGTTGTCAAAGCCCTGACCAGACTTTTTGTGACTCATGGGCTCCCAGACACGATAGTCTCCGACAACGGGCCGCAGTTCTCGTCCTGCGAATTTAGCAGGTATGTCACGAACCTGGGCATCCGACACGTCCTCACGGCCCCCTTTCACCCTGCTGTAATGGGATGGCGGAGAGAGCCGTCAGATCGGCTAAGGAGGCACTAGCCAGATTCGGTCAGGAAGACTGGCATTCCAAGTTATCCCGCTTCCTCCTCAGCCAGCATACAACCCCATGCACTAGCACTAACAAATCCCCGGCTGAACTGTTAATGGGGAGACGTTTAAGGACCACTCTTGACAGGCTGCATCCCCACTACTGTCCTGATACCCCGTTGGGTTCTGACAGCCAGGTGCGAGACTTTGCCTTGCAAGACCCAGTCTTTGCAAGAAACTATGCAGGAGATCCATTGTGGGTGCCAGGGCAGATCGTAGCTATCACTGGTCCAAGGTCCTACCGGATCCAATTAGAAGACGGTCGACTATGGCGGAGACACCTCCGCAGGCGGCGGAGTGACCAGAGCAGCGGTGAGCCGGATCCAGCAACCAACCCTCGAATCCTCGCCCAGTTTCCAGAGGGAAATCCCCTGAGGGGCCAGACATTCCCACTTGAACAAAGTGAGCCGAGAACGGACCTGGACGGGAGGCCCGAAGCTCCTGCACGTCCACCCTGCGAGAGCACCGACCGTCCTGGCCGGGACGTTCTACCGAGCCAACCCGAACGAGGGGAGACTTCTCGTTCCCCGGATCCAGTGCCAATTCCAGAGGGCTCCACAGCAGCCTCGGAGCTGCGCTCCTTGGACTCGATGCCAACCGGCAGTTCCCCTGAGCTACGACGTTCGGGCCGCCAGCGAAGTCCTCCAGCATACCTCAAAGACTACGCATGCACCCAGCCAGGGGGGAGGGGTGTTATGTCTTTGGAACTGGTTGGAGTTCCCAACCAGGTCGGCACTTTAGGCGGGAGCATCAGCAGCTCCCATTGGTTGGCTCCGTTTGACAATCGGCTATAAAAGCCGGCGGCTGGACGGAGCCAGCCGTTGTTGTTCTTCTCCAGCAGTCTGCCTTGTTAGCGGGCAGACACAACAACCCTTTATTCCCCAGAATAAAGCCTTTACTTGTATGCTCTGGCCTTAGCCTCGTTTGTCCCTTCGCTCTACAACACTTATTACTATTATTTGATCACCATGTGCCACAAATCACTAGTGAAGACATGACCTTCATTTGGGAAGACTTGGGAGAGATTCAGGAAACTCTCTGTGTCCTGAATCCAGATTTAGCAGCATCAACTATTCCAAGGATCATTTTGTCTTCATCCTATATGTATTTATACACCGACTTGTTCTGACTATAGCACTGTAGCACTTCCTTGGGGACCAAGGAAGCTGAGCTGTTACAAAATCCGTTTTTGCAGCACATACCGTAGTTTGAGGAGACAGGTTTTCTATTGTTCTATTCTGTTGTGTATCTTACTGCCTTATATTCTCCTCTCTTTTCTCAATTCCTGCTTTATATTCCTGTTGTGGTTTCTCAGAGACTTCTGTCTTCAGTTGGCACTTTGCAATACACAATGTTCCTGTGCCCCCCCCCTCCCGAAAAAGTAAAGTTTTCTGTAACTTCAAATAACTTGGCTCTTGTCTTCATCTAGATGACAAGAAACGTGAGAGGAAATGTGATGACAACAGTCTGACACCTCTACTGCAAAGGAACATAAAACCAAATTACTCTCTTAGAAAAGGCTTTACTATTTTGTGAAGGAAGCAAACTTCTTTCAGAATTAAAACATGTTTGTGTTTTATTTAATTACCTTGTGTTTAGGCAAAAATGTGCTATTATTAGATGAATGTTTAATTATGTAGTGTACTTTATCTTAACAAGATAATTACAAGACTGCTAAAGTTAGTGCCTTGCTTATATACTTAATATGGCTTTTCAAGAATTGTCTGATTTTAAAATTACTAGTTAGGCATGTAGATAAGATGGAATTTAACATGCTATGATGACACAATGGCCCACTATATCTGTAAGAGTTATGAAAGCAAGCATTGTTTTTTCTGGTTGCTATAAAGAGAAGGGATATTGCAGGAAGAGTGAATAATTATTTTTCAACAAAGTTAATGATCAATTTAAAGCACACCTAACAATTTTAAGGAACAATCTGCTTGGTCACTAATATTAATATTGTCACAATCTTATTTTCATTTTCTCTCAAACAGTGGTAATGTAAAAAGATAGAAATTCTTACATTTCTTTCAGGACTAGACAGACAGTTTAATTTCTAATTCAAGGTTAGAATTCTCACATACTTACTTGAGCTGAACTGCTTCCAGCTGATGGCAATCACAGAAAAGTAGCAATAATAATAGCAATAGCACTTAGATTTGTATAGCGCTTCTTAGTGCTTTACAGTCCTCTCTAAGTGGCTTCCAGAGTCAGCATATTGTCCCCAACAATCTGGGTTCTCATTTTACCAACCTCAGAAGGATACAATGTTGAATCAACCTTGAGCCAGTGACACTTGAACTGCCAAACTGCAGGCAGCCGGCAGTCAGCAGAAGTAGCCTGCAGTACTGCACTCTAACCACTGCACCACCGTGGCTCACAAAAGTAAAAGAATTGCCCATATTCCGCATTCAAGATTCTAGAGCTGATTTTAATGAATTGTAACTCTCAGTAAGTTCCCCACTGACCATATTTTGTACCATTATGAGAATCAGCAACCCTGTGTAGATTGATGGACATTGGGAATAACCAGATTGAGGAAACCACTAAAGATCTTCCTATTTTTTTTTCTTATTATGGTTTTATTACTTCTCTTTTAAAGATTGTGGTTTTAAAATTGTTTAATATTCCAGCTGAGTAGGGATATTTGATTGTAGTCTGCATAGTGTATTGTCAAACATCTCAAGCCAGGTGGTTAGGAAAGGATCTACATATATAATATGTGAGCTAACTCCGTTGCCCAAACAGAAGAGCCAATGTGTTCCCAAACCATATGACCTTTTGTCTGATATTAGACTTACAAGGTCAGTGCTACCAAAATTTGAATAAAAGCAAGGATGTACAGAAAACTCTTAACTTTTTGCAGTCATATAAAACTCATCCAGATTTGTTCAGCTCAGAATTGCGAATTGTGTAAGGAAATGTTGACATGACCTATGAGTTGTTATTATTGTGATGGAAATTCCAATAGTCCATATTTTATAAAAGCCAAAAAAATGTAACCTATTTCCTGAGTAAAAGATAAGGTTGAGGAGGGACTGGAAATTTGCAACAACTTTCTTAAAGTTTGTCAGGAAGAAGTGTCATTTTTCTATCCTCCAAATATATTTAGCATTTGAATAATCTCACTGCATATTTTCTAACCTTTAGTGGTTTTTTTCTACTTCAACTATGATGGGAAAGAAGTACCTATAAAGCTCATTATAGCAGACCATAGAATGGAAGAGTAATATTTTCACAGATGGTTGTCTCTTTCAGTGACATGAGAGATATGGGAACAGAAAGAAAGACAATGTTTAATATATGGAAAACATAGTCACCTCTAAGGCATCAATTTTAAAACAAAGGAGAAAAAAACAATTCACTGGAGAAGGACTTATTTAGATTATTTCCATAAATTAGTCTGGGCTGGTCTTAAATATATCATTCTTATAAATACATTTTAATCAGCTGGTTACTTGGCAAGTATTATAAATAGTTCTTTGGTATTTTTCTGCCAAAGTTTACTGTGAAGTTCTGTTCTATTCTGGGGATCCCTCTGTCAGGAGGGGGGTGAAATGATATGAAAACTTATACAACTCTTTTTGTCTATCATTTTCTTTAAGATTCAGAAATTACAGCTAACTTTTCTTCAAAATGGGAAATACTGTTATGAGTGCTGGGGGTAGAAATAGAGACAAGTGAGTAATTTTGGTTTTTCACTGCTAATGAATCAAGAACCACAGATGTTTCAATGTTAGGAAAAGAAAGCAAGCCCTGCATTTAAATTAATTATTTGCTGCCCTGGATAGACTCCAAGTTTTTGAATTGACTGTAACTTTAAAACAATGTGCTATATATCTCGGTTTCAAGCTTAGTTTACTTAACAAGATATATACTGTGTTTTATTAGGCTGTATTGCTATGTACAGCTCATACATATACTACATTCAGAGTTTTCTTCTGAAGTTTTTGTAGCAATCTTTCTGACTTTCATAATTAAAAATGTAGCCAAAATTATGAATTAGATTTCTCTTGGCACACTCCAAATGGCACAAGAAGACAACAAAAACAACCTTTTCAAACCTACTTAAAATGGGAATGTTTATGGACAGTTTTCTGCAGGATCAGGCAAGATTGTCTCTTTAATAAGGGGGTAGACAAATATGGCCCCTTTGTGACCTATGGACTTCAACTCCCAGAATTCCTGAACCAGCATGGAATTCTGGGAGCCACCCCTGCTTTAGTGTGATGAGAGTCTTAACAAAATATTCTTTTGTGATCCAGTCAGATTTCCATTGATGTGGCCTCCCCTTTCACAATTGGTTTCAAAAACAATTTCCTGACAACGTTTCAGCCCTCACAGTGACCTTTGAAAGAAAAGATTGGTGATTTGTTATGAAAGAAAAGAAAAACATCTAAAGATCCTTATGTCAGAGCATCCCTACTTTTGTGTCAGTGAGCATAACTTCCTTTCCCAATGTAACTTAACGTCTGCTTTGGGGAAAAAGTGGACAATAAGGATGTTGGAGTGGAAGCTTCTTGGCTCTGTAGCACTGGGTTGAGGAGTCAAAATATATGTAAACCATGTTTAAAAGCAGACCTGGGAAAAAATAAAACCTAGAGCCAGCAATGTTTTCACAGTGTGATCAAAAACTCAAGATGACTGCCACAACAATGCAATCAAAGATCTATCTGTTATTTAAAAAAAAAACCCACAGGAAAAGCTACAATCATACTATAGTGACTGCCAACTTGATTTTTTGACATACCCTGAGGACAATCTGCCTAGAGCCAGCTCTGTACTTCAACATACATATATAATTGCCATCACATTGTTAGGTGAAAAAAACCAAATCAAAGTTCATCCTTAAAACAACCAAAAATCTGGAAAGTACAATAGACTCTAGAAGATTCCCTTCTTTTCCTTATATACCAGTAATACATGCTCTTGAATCAGTTGAAATTAAGATGATTGCCTCATATAGATTGATAGAAAAATATTCTAGACCAGTGGTGGCTAACCTTTTTGTTTTGTCCAGTTTAGTTTACTATTGTCATTGCACCTTGTACAATGAAATCAAACACCATCTTCAGTGCATATCATGACCATGACCATGAAAATAAACACAAACACAAATCCTTCACCCTTCACACATTGAACCGGAAGCCCCCAACACTACACCAACACTGCACTATACAGCAGAATTCAAAAGAGCTACTGCCCTGGGATAGAAGCTGTTTTTCAGCCTATTTGTCCTTGTTTTTATTATTCTGTACCATCTGCCAGATGGTAATAGTTCAGAAAAAGGGTTCTCAGGATGAGATGGATCTTTGAGAATGTTTTGAACTTTCTTAAGGCAGCAGGAGCTATAAAGCTCTTCCAAAGAGGGGCGAGGGCAACCCATGATCTTCTGGGTAATGACGTTAACCCTCTGGAGTGCTTTCCTGTCTGCCACTGGGCAATTGGCAAACCATACAGAGGTGCAGTATGTTAAAATGCTCTCTATGGTGCAGCAGTAGAAGGTCACCAGCAGTTTCTCATTCAGTTGTTGTTTTCTGAGAAGCATCAGGTAGTATAATCTCTGCTGGGCCCTTTTGACCAGGGCTGCAATGTGGGCACCCCAGGCCAGGTCCTCTTTTAGGGTAACACCCAGAAACTTAAAACTGGCTACTTCCTCCACTTGATCTCCATTGATAAGCAAGGGCTGGATGTCTGATCTGTTCCTTCTATAATCCACTATAAGCTTCTTGGTCTTATTGGTGTTAAGGACCAAGTTATTGCCTCCACACCATGAAAGCAACCGGTCCACCTCATTTCGGTAGGCAGACTCATCTCCCCTGATAAGATAAGTCCCATCATTGTTGTATCATCTGCAAACGTGAGTGGGAATGCAGTCATGCACTTAAAGAGTATAGAGTAAGGGACTCAACACACAACCCTGTGGTGTACCAGTGTTAAGAATAAGGGCTGAAGAGGTGTGATTACCTAATCTGACCCTCTGTGAGTGGCCAGACAGGAAATCCATAATCCAAAGGCAGATTGAATTAGAAAGCCCAAGGTCTTGTACCAAAATTTGGGCTCCTGTGCCAAAATTTGTGCGCGTGTTTGTACTCGCACGCTCACATGCCAGCACCCAGAAGGCAATGCTGCACCCCACTCATGCCCTCTGTGCATGTGCACACAATCCCCCCCCACGCTGCCCCCTTACTTGCACTGTACCTCACAGCTGATTTTTTGCCAGTTTGAGACCTTTTTCAGCCTCCCAGAGGCTTGAAAAAAGACTTTGCAGGCCAAATAATAGGCCCATTTCATCACTTTTGGTATTACAGGAAGTGATGAAATGGGCCTATTATTCATCCTGCAAAGCCTGCAGAAGCTTTTTTCAAGCCTCTGGGAGGCCGAAAAAGTCCTCAAACCAGCCGAAAAATCAGCCGTGAGGCGCGCGCATGCGCAGTGAGGTGAGTTTGCTTGTGGCTCGAGGGCCAGCACAAATGGCTCTGCTTGCCACCTGTGGCATGTGTGCCATAGGTGCGCCATCATGGGTTCTAGAC